GGGGAGGAGAGTAAGGAAAGGTTGGTTAACTAATACACAATTACAGCTAGGTAGGAAAAATAAGTTCTAGTAGTCTACAGTAGTACATCAGTAATCAACAATAATTTCTAGTGTGTTTTCAAATGGCTGGAAGAGAGGAGCTGAAATGCTGTCATCACAAAGAAATAAATTTTTGCAATGATGAATATGCTAATTACCCTGATTTGATCATCACAAATATTATATATATGTACTGGAATCTAACTCTGTACCCAAATAAATAAATAAATAAAAATAGGTGAGGAAAGAACCTTAAAGATAACTAAATTTAGTTCAACTGAAAGCCTATAAGCAATTTTTTTAAAATTTAAAACCAAATTTTGCTTTATGTAATATATTTGCAAATGCAGTCATGCATCACTTAACAACAGGGATACATTCTAAGAAATGCATCATTAGGTAATTTAATCTTTGTGCGAACATCATAGAAGACACAAACCTAGATGGTATAGCTTACTGTACATCTAGGCTCTATGCCATAGCCTATGGCTCCTATGCGTGTCATGCATTGTGCTACAACATTAGATGGCTATGACATCACTAGGCAGTAGGAATTTTTCAGCTCTGTTATAATCTTATAGGACCATAGTTGTATATGTGCAATATGTTATTGACTGAAACATTATGTGGCACATGACTGTACTATTAATGTGTGAATATTTATATATTACCACCTGTCTCAAGGCACACAACAAACATCTCTAAAATTTTATAACCATAGAATTTTAGAGCTGGGGTAAATGCTAAACATCATCTGGCATTTCTTTTCCCTGATGAGGAAAGAGCAACATTCTCTTTTGCGAAACTGATTATAAGCCTTTTCTGTGGATGTAGAAGAGAAATGGCGCAGAGATCATTTGGCAGCATCTGCAGTGAGACTGTGTTAGCTCATTATAAAGAACTTCCCAACCGTTTGAGCCATTCCAAAATGGGGTGAGCTTCCTCATGAAATGGAATTTTCCATCCTTGAAGGTTTCAATCAGAAGCTGGCCAGTCGTTTTTTAACATGTTATAAAAAGATATAAAAGCATTAATAGCTATTACTAATTGAGCTTATAAGTTGTTCCTGGCACAGATTTATTTATTTATCTTTGTTTATCTTTAATCTTCACAACAACCTTGCAAGGTGTAAATATATCACCACCAATTTACAGATGAGGAGGTTACGTGACTTGTCTGGTCTCCCTGCTAATTAGTGGTAGCAAACCTGGCAATTCATGTTTTATTTTGAGTAGTGATTTTTTTTTTTCTATCATGAGGACCTTATGATGTGTAGACCTTTTCCCTACAAAAACACTAAGTAAAATTTTGATGTAACTACAGAGGTTTTTAGTTCTCCCAGTGGATTTCCCCCAGTGGATTTCTTTGAAGCTCTGGACTAAGAATTCATGGTTTAACTTTAAGCAATAAGTCTCAATTAAAAAAAAAAAAA